GCTTACGAATGAATACACTACGAGTTTTTCTTCATACACTTGTATGGATGGAAAATTCAAGAAAATTTTTTAAACGTTTAGATACATTTCTTGATATATCAAAAAATAATAATTTAAAAATTATACTTGTTTTATTTGATGAATGTTGGAATGCTGAACCACTTTTAGGCAAACAACCAGAACCTATACCAGGTGTACATAATTCACAATGGGTTCGATGTCCTGGTCAATCAATGGTGCTAAATAAAACAAGTTGGCCAATAATTAGAGAGTAAATTTTAAAAAAAAAATTAAATTTTATTATTATATAAAAATAAAAAATACATATATATTTAGATATACAATAGATGTTATTGATCGTTATAAATCTGATGAACGTGTTTTGGCATGGGATTTATATAATGAACCTGAATGTAGTAAACAAGTGAACATTATCTTACCTTTACTTCATTATATATACGCAGCTGCTCGATCTGTTCGTAATGTTCAACAGCCGATGACTATTGGCATAGCCAAATGGCCATTAACAACACCATTAGCATTGTTTGAATTATCTGTTTCTGATATAATATCATTTCATTCATATGGTCCCTTAGCGAATGTTATACAAAATATAACTGATTTACGTGAAGTTCAATTAGGTCGACCTATTCTCTGTACAGAGTGGCTTGCACGTCCATTTGGATCAACATTATTTACACATTTAGATTATTTTAAAAGTGAAAAAATCGGTGCAATACAATGGGGTCTTGTAGCTGGTCGATCTCAAACATATTATCAATGGAAATCACCAAAAAATGCACCAATGCCACGAGTATGGTTTCATGATGTTTTATATCCAAATGGAACAGCATTTAGTCAACTAGAAGAACAACTTTATATTGAAATAAATCATTGAAAAATCTTAAGAAAGAAAAAAAAAAGAATAAAAAGTTTTTCGATAATCATGTTCATAGAATTGAAATATGAAACATTTTCTTTATAATGTTATTCTATGAAAGATATTGAAGAAAATACAAATGAACCTATCTATGACATTAGATAGGTTTCTAGAAATTTGATTCTCAACATGTAAGAAAGAGATTTTATTAAGATGATTATGCTAACAATAGCAGAGACAATAAATAATAGATCATAATGGTCAATCATAAAGTAGGATGACTTTGTTCGAAATGATGCAGAAGAAGACTGAACGAAATCTACACTTCCTTTAATCTTTAGCTTATGATTTTCATTATCAAAAAAATATTGGTTTTTTTTTTGAATCTTAGAAAGATAAAAATAAACAAGGATAACATATCGATTGGATTAGCGACTAATAATTAGACTTTAGTCATTGTAAATGTATGTTCCAATGGATATAAAAGAGATAGAAAATAAAATAAAATACAATACATGAAACAAGCATTGAAAGATAGTCGAAGTTATTGATTACCTCTTAACTTATAAAACTTCAATAATGACTGAAATTACCGAGAAATAATGGTTTTTCTAATATTTTCAGCTGGATATGATCATTTAGAATTACGAAAAGCCGATATTCTAGCGTACAAGTCGTTTTCAAATGTTGTTTCTCGTATCTCATCATTTCAGAGTCGACACAGAAAAAAAAATGACTGGAACATGTCGAGTATCCTGACGTTTCGAGTAATGATACATCTAATTTCTCAAATGATTTTACGACTCCTGCTATACAGTCTTATGATTTTTTTCGATGTGCATAATGTATTGTTTACTGTTCCGTATTTTTTTTTTTGTAAATTGAGTCATTTCGTATTTGTTTGGAATAGATATGAATAAGAACGTTATTTTCTATAAGATAGTATACTGGCTCTATGGACACCTCTTCTATAAATAAGTAATGATTTATCTCGAATGGCTGATTACTCGGGATTCTAATGAAAAGTATTAACTAAAAAAATGAGTTAAGTATATGTTATTTTTCAATAATATTATAAAGTCAATACAAGGAAAAAATATTAGCATCTGTACGTGAATTTTACCAAACTTAACATTCACTCAAGTATATGTTATGTGAATTAAGGCTAGTCATTTGTTTTATTGAGTGAGAAATAACTTCTATACATAATGATTGAGTTTATTGTTATAAATTATTAAAGCAGTACACTAAATAAGAAACTACATTTATTCATGACAGTAAATGTTTTTAAAATGTTATTGTAAAAAAGTTCATAGTGAGTCGTCGATATGAGTGTCAAGAGTAGATTCATGGCAACAGTCACATCCACCTCGTGTGTAAGATGGCATGAACACAGCCAGTAAATGCTTGCATCAGACAAGACCTTCTTGTCATGATATGTTTGGTGCAACATCATTAGAATATGCACTTCATCTCTGATCATCCTAATGATTTTTCTGATTGTTGTAAGGTTATATTCATATCCGTGATTTCGCAGCGTTCATCTACAACTGCAGTTATTTTTATTGTCAACGAAATTTTTGATGGACAATAGCGAATAAAGTACTTCTTGAAAATAATCTCACCTAATTTTTATTCCTCTTATAGTTATTCTTGTGCAAATTCATTGATTAAATTTGACTTCTTCTGCTTTTCTCTTCATCGAATAATCTGAGTACATCATATGCATTCAAACCTAGAATGTGTGTGTGAGTGGGAGTGAGAGTAGACGTTGTTGATGGAGATAACACTCATACCTATACCTTACGTGGCAGATCATGACATCCGTCTTATTGGTATTGCATAAGTTCGGGTTTGTTTTTTCAGTGCAGTGTCCTCAAAAATAGTAGTCTGCTCTGAATTGTCATTTTTTTCCTTCCATGGCTTCCTTGTTAAGCGTTCACGATAAGATTTTAATGATGGTGAGATCTTCGTCAATCGTCCGCCATCATCATGAAATCTAGTTGGTTCTCTACCACCGATTCTAAAAGCTAATTGACTCATTATGGAGTCCATATGCGATATGCTTTTTCAATGTCTCTGATAGTATCCTTCGTAGGGTTCTTGATAAATTACATATTGATTCATGCATTACAAGGAATCTGAAGTTACCTGGCAGCTTTGTTTTTGGTCTTCCATGAGGAACGTCAGAAAATACAAAGGGGTGTGGTATAAAGGGTGTGGGTGTGTGAATATATGTAACACTCGTATCTCCACCCACAC